GGGAGCCCGATGCGGGACTCGATCCCGGGACTCCAGCATCATGACCTGAGCCGAAGGCAGTCGCTTAACCAACTGAGCCACCCAGGCGCCCCAGCGGTGGCTTTTTATAAAGGGATTTCGAAATTTCCACTGGAATCTGTGGATGGCAGGTAGGGGGCTGGAGGGCCCAGAGGAGAAGGGGTAGTGCGGTGTCGGAAAATGTTCCCTGACTCCAAGAGCTGGCCTGGGTAAGGCTGTAGGTGCAGCAGGCCCAGGAAGAGGGGGCGTGTGCTGGGGGTGGAGGGAGAACCACAGGCTCCATCCTGCTCCCCCTGTGACTAGCGGATAAGTCACCACCATCCTTGGGCCCCGCCTGCCCCACCCCTCTGCTTCGCTGCTGGACCGCGGCCATCTGTCCTCACCAGGCACTGGGCATGGTGCCCTGCTCCTCCTGGTTGACCTGTTTGCAAACGGGGAATTCAGGGACAGTTGGGACTGGAAGGAGGGCAATCCCTGAGGTAAGGACTTAGCTGTAGGCCTCCCCAGTTTCTCAGAGCCCAGCTGCTGGCAGCTGTGGAGGCTGCCTCCTCCACGCTGGCAGCTGGCCCCACCCAACTGTCCTGATCAATCAGAATCTAGCTGCAAAGGAGCCTTCTGGTGGCCCAGGAGCTGCAGCTGGTGTGTCTGTGGGCGTGGGAGGGGTACAGAGGAAAGAGGCTAGGACGTGGGAGGGTCTTCAGGCAATGGAAGGAATCTTATCTCATAACCACACCTGCTGTCCTCCCCTCCGGGGCAACATGGGGGCTGGAGAGACCCCTGCCCTGGGGGCCCTCATCGGCTGAGAAACCATAGACGAGTCACGCTACCTCTCTGGACCTCCATCTCCTCATCGTGAAATGGGACACAGAATGCTCAGAGCCACCGACCACACAGACACTCGTAACTAACGCTGAGTCCGTGCTTAGCACTTTGCACACGTTAGCTTGGTTTTCCCCCCAAACAACACTGAGACCTAAGAATTCTTAGCATCATCCCCGTTTTGCAGATGTGAAACCTGAGGAGACTCCGAGCCGTTAAGGAGCTTCCCAGGGTCACAGAGTTGGTGAGTGGGTGGCCACAGGCTGTTGGAACCCAGCCACCCCAGCTCCCAGCCCAGGGGCTCGGCCACACGGCTGCTGGCCTCCCTACTCGGGGGGCTCAAGGTGACAGGTGCCTGGACGCCCCTCCCGGCGCCCCAGCTGCCGGCGGGTCCTGATGTTGCGGAGCAAGTTGTCAGCCTCCAACTCCCTTCATGCCCTGAGGTCCTCCGCTGTGCTGTTCCGCTCAGAAATGAGGCTCCCCCAGATCTCCTGGCTAACCCCACTTTTCTCTCCCATCAATCTTCAGGGAGCTTGCCTGTCATGTCCCATAATGACATGGTGGCTTCGCTGTGCCCTCCCGTGGCCTCCTTTGAGGCAGCAAGAAAGCATGCTTCCTCTCTGCCCACACATGGGCCACGGGTTCGAATCCAGACTCTGCCCGCTCGAGCTGTGCAAGCATCAGCAAGTGGGGCATTTTCGGTTCCTCCTCTCAGAAATGGGCACGATCATAGGCTCACCCTCATGGTTGCTGCCAAGGCCAAGTAAGTTAGCACACGTGCAGGCTTAGATGGCTGCCTGGGGCCGAACGAGCTCTCAGTGCTTGGCTCCCTGCTTCCTTTCCCTGGCAGAGCCTTCCTGACCGTGCATTGTGACCAGGAACAGAAGAAGGACTTACTCCCAAGGACGAATCATAAAGAGACATCGGGAGACAAGAGTACAGTTGCCTTCCACTTCCAGCCCATGAGTTCAGATCAGGCAAGGCGCTGGGTTCAGTCATCATGGGTATGAGTCCGTCCCCCCTCCTAGAATGGGAGCTCTCAGAGGGCAGGCCTTGTCCGAGTCAGCTCCATCCCTCTGGTATCTGGCCACCTGTGGATGTTAATTTCCTCCCTTTCTTCTGCCTGACCCCACGTGCTCAGAAGGGGCACCTGTGAGAGGGTAGCCCAAGTTCTCGTGGAAGTGGACGGAGATTTGGCCCATCCCTGCTGGCGTCTCCAAGTGTCAGTCACGTAAATCAGACAGCCCACCAACCAGTGAGGAAAGAAACAGGCCATCAGGCAGTCGAACATCCATCAGGGGATGATTGGACACCAGCCTGGCCAGTCAGACACATACACCAACCGATGATCACTCTGCATTCAATCTGATGTGGACACCCACTTTCCAGAGTCCCTTCCCAGGACTCTGAGAATGTCTCTCCTCTCCCCAAGCCCCCCCCCCGGCCCCCACCCAAGAGGCCTGGTCTCGGATGCTCCTGGCAAGGTGCCCATTCCTGATCAGCAACTTGGCAGCCTCCTAGCTGCTGGCTCCAGTGTTCCCCCTCCTCCTTCCTCTCCTTCCCAAGGTGGGAGCCTCAGGCTCTGCCAAAGCATTACTAAGAGTGGGGGTGACATCATCCTCCTGGTCCCACCCCATCCCTGGCCCTGCTTACCCTTCACCCTTGGCTGCCCCTGAGTATATGACACATTCTGGGTGGGGGAGGGGGCCGTCCCCTGGGACAGATGCCTGAAGGTCCTCAGCCCCAGGCTCAACACACTCAGACTGCCTTTTCCCCCTCCCTGTCTTGCTGGAGCAGTCTTGGTCCCAGAGACCAAGCCAGACAGATCCAAATGCATACTCAGGATCTTCCAGCTGGGTGGCCCTGGATGAGGGCCTTTATCTCTTTGGGCTTCATCTCTAAAACAAGGATGAGAATTAGCCCTGCCTCAGAGCAGAGAGGCAAATACAAGGCTTAAGTGAGGTCCTGTCCATTAGGGTTCTGCCCCAGGGAAAGCAACTTCGGTCTATCTTGATCTCTGTGGGATATTCATTCCTAAGATGCACACCTACACATACTACCACCACCAAAAATAAAATGATAGTAGTGAAAGCATGTGTAGAGTAAACTTGGGAAACAATGTCAAAACCCTCCCCTCTTACCCCCCATCTGCCCAACCCTACCTCAGCTTTTCACAATGAACACAAGTTTTTATTGGTGTTCTTATTATAAAAATGTATGATGACTGTAAAAAGCCACAATGGAGGCAAATGTAAAGCTGAAGATGAAGTTCCTCAGGCTACTCAAAAATACACATAAATACATTCGGAAATTAGTCAAACACAACTGCTAGAAATGAAAAATGTCATCCTTGAAATTGCAGAATTCAAGGTATGAGCCAAATAGATTATGTAAAGCTGAAGACAGAATAAGTAAAATGTAAGATAGAGTTGTAGAAATTTATCCTGAGCACAGCTCCAAGAGGAAAAGAATTGAATATAGAGGAGAAGTAAAAAGACGTGGAGGATAGAGTACAAAGACCTAATACGTGTAATTAGAGTACTAGACAGAAAGGAAAGAATATAAGGAAGAGGCAATATTTGAAGAGATCCTAACTGAAAACTTTTAAGAGCTGTTGAAAGACAGCAAGCCTTACATCCAGAAAACCCAGTAATTCCTAAGCACTAAAAGTTAAAAGAAATCCACAACTACACACATTAAAGTAAATCAGCAAATTTACAGGACAGAGAAAGAGGGACATATTATGAAAGCAGCCAGAGAGACAAAAAATTGCCTCTAATGGGATGGCATTTAAGCAGATGGGGCTGACTTCTCAACAGTAACAGTTTAATCCAAAAGATAGCAGAATGGTATTTCTAGCATATTTGAAATTTATATTGCTGAAATAAAATAGTTGTTTACTTAGAATTCTCCATCTAACGACTCTACTTTTCCAAGAGCAAAGGTGTAATAAAATTGAGAGGGGTCACCGTCCACAGACTTCCAGGGACCCTCCTAAAATCAAGAACAAGACAAGGATGTCTGCTCTCACCACTTCTATCTAATGTTGTCTTGGAGGCTCTTGCCAGAGCAATTAGGCAAGAAAAAGAAACTCAAGCATCCAGATTGGAAAGGAAGAAGTAAAACTATCTTTACTTGCAGATAACATATTCTTGTATGTAAAAAATTCTAAAGAATCAACTCAAAAGCTATTAGAACTAATAAACAAATTCAGCAAGATTGCAGGATACAGGATCTATGTACAAAAAATCATTGTATTTCTACATATTAGCATGAATAGCCCAAAAATGGATGTAAGAAAATAATTCCATTTGCAATAGCATAAAAAATGAAATAAAATACTTAGGAATACACTTAACAAAAGATAGGCAAAAGTTGGACTTTGAAGAACGACAAAATGCTGCTGAAATAAGTAAGGAAGACTGAAATAAATGGGAAGACCTCTACTGTCCATGGATTGAAGCCCTAGTATTGTTAAGATGGCAATATGCTCCAAATTGATTTACAAATTCAACACAACCTCTATCAAAAGCCCAGCTGGCTGTTTTATAAAAATTGACGAACTGATCCTAAAATTCATATGGAAATTTAAGGGATCTAAAGTCACTAAAACAAATTTGGAAAAGAACAAAGTTGGGGGGCTCACACTTCCTGATTTTAAAACTCACTACAAAGCTGTAACAATCAAGACAGTGTGGTATTGGTATAAGGACAGACATATAGACCAATGGAACAGAATTGAAAGTCCAGAAATAAATCAGTACATTTATGGAAAACAGTCCCAAGAAAACTCCATGTAGAAAGAATAGTCTTTTCAACAAACAGTGTTAGACAACTGGATATCCACATGCAAAAGAATGAAGGTGGACCATTTCCTTAATACCATACATGAAAATTAACTTAAATAGATCATAAAACAACATATATATTGAAACTGTAAAACTCTTAGAAGAAAACATTGATGTAAATCTTAGTGACTGTGGGCTAGGCAGAACCTTCTTTGATACAACAGCAATAGCACAAGCAACAAAAAGAAAAATAGATAAATTAGATTTCATCAAAATTTAAAACTTTTGTGCTTGAAAGGACACCATCAAGAAAGTGAAAAGGCAAATACAGAATGGGGCAATATATTTGCAAATCATACACTGAATAAGGAACTAGTATCCACAATACGTAAAGAACTCTTACAATTCCATATTAAAAAGACATAACCCAGTTGAGAAACAGGCCTTAAATAGACATTTCTCCAGAAAATATATACAAATGGCCAGTGAGTACCTAAAAACATAAGTACATGCTCAACGTAATTAACCATCAAGGAAATGCAAATCAAAACTACGATGAATACTATTTCACACAAACTCAGATGGCTATAATAAAATCTTTAAAAAAGAAGAAAGAAAATATTGGTGAGAACTGTAGAAATTAGAACCCTCATTCATTGCTGATGAGAATGTAAAATGGTGCGGCCACTTTGGAAAACAGTGGCAATTTCTCAAAATATTACATGTGGAGTTATGTGGAGTTACCATATGACCCAGCAATTCCACTCCTAGATATATACCCCAGAGAAATGAAAACATATATCCATAAAAAATTATACATAAATGTTTATAGCAGCATTACTCATAATAGCTAAAACTGGAAAAAACCCAAATGTCCTTAGGCTAATAAATGGATAAATAAAATGTAGTATATTCATGCAATGGAACATTATTTGGCAATTAAAAGCAATGAAGTACTAATACATGTGACAATACGATGACCCTTGAAACCATTATGCTAAGTGGAAGAAGCCAGTCACAAAAACCCCACATATATTATGATTCCATTTATGTGAAATGTTCAGAATGGGCAAATCTATAGAGACAGAAAAGAGATTAGTGGTTGCCTATGGCTGGGGGATTTCAGGGGAAATGTGGATGGACTGCTAATGGTTACGAGGTTTCTTATTGAGGTGAAAAAATGTTCAAAAATTGATTGTGGTGATGGTTGCACAACTCTGTGAATGTACTAAAAACCATTGAAATGTACACTTTAAATGGATTAATTTTATGGTATACAAATTACAACTTAATAAAGCAGTTTTTTTTAATATACTCTAAACAGAAAGGAAAATATCTGAGTTGGAAGGCCTGAGATGCATAAAAGAATGTTGAGCAAAGATGATGATAAATATGTGGTTAAATTCAAAACATAATGACTGTATGACACAACGCTAATAATGTTTAATTTGGGGGAGTCTAGTATAACAAGGTAGAACTTATTTAGCTGTGTTATGCTGAGTTAGAATGTGAAAATATTAAGTGTAACAACCCAAAAAATAAAAAAAACTGCTTAACTAGTAGAGAGAGAAATGGAACTCAAAACACATGGAAATCTGAAATCAGTGGCCGTATAAGCAGATCATGAGGCAGCTGAACCTATGGGCAGAGTTTCATAGAGAAGGCAAAGCTTGCCACAAACCAGATA